TATATATATATATATATATATAATATATATATTAAAATGCGACAAAAAGCGCATAGTATCTTACATCAATACACAAAAGAAACTATTCAAGTTGATAGGATGTTTTTGTTCAACTTGTTCATCTTTCTCCTTGGAATCAATCAATTCAATAGATTCATACTTCTGTCAAATCAACTAAGTCATCAGTGTGTGTAAGCAATCCTTTTTATTTTGAACCTGGCACAAGCATTTTTTTTTATATGAACTGACAAAAACAACTATCATGGGTATAGTAAGTTGCACTTACCTTTGAAAATAATATATCTTGGGCTATGCGAGCTTTGTGGTTTTAATTGATCGAATGAAATGCAAACACTATGGGATTTTCAGTAAATAAAAATACAAAAAAAACGTGCAAACTTAATTTTGAAATATAAAATACAAAATTATTATGTTTCTTTGAACAAAAATATTTTTCACAACAGCAAAACGAACTCTGTAAAAACGACTTTCTCAGCTTTTGGAATTCGTTATGGGATAATTAAGTAAGTTACTTTAATAGAAGTTAGTCTACTTGTAAATGTTTTATCACGTTCTACAGGTAGGCAAGTGTCTAATTTATAAATTAATGGCTTTAAATCAAGAATATGCTTTCCATATTCCACATTGTTTGCAAATATATCACATTTCTGATATGCGTCAAAAGTACTAAAGTATTTCTTCTGGGGTACAGATATGCTAAAATAAACATAAATCACACAATGGTGTTTTAATTTCTCGTGTTTTTTATGTTTAAATATAAGCATGAAAAACTTAAACTTATCTTCTTGTTATTTGTAGGTTTTAAATAACATTATCTCAAAGTAACTTTTCAAGTGTTATCATAATGAAATGAAATAAAAAACTGTCTTTCTTTAGCTTTTTTTTAACAAACGTTGACTTTAATGTCAATCCAAATAGATTATACTACAATTGTGCTTTAATTACATAAGACTCCTTTAAGTCAACAAACAGAACATGAAATATTTTGATTGCATAAATCGTATTTCATACATTTTGTTCAAAAGCATCGGCACAGTGAAATTCAAATGAGTCTAACAATTACGGTTTCTTTTAGATATCTATTGTTTTTTATTGTACGTTTTGCTTTTCCAAGTTTGAACTAACGAGCTGAGATTGTAGATACTGATGACTTCGTGGTTTTCATGAAACTTCAGTCAGTAAGTCTTTCCAATGAAAATATTATCCGCTTTATAAATTTTCCAGCACTCTAGTTCTCAAAAACGTAATTACGTCAATCAAAGTCTGTTTCAATATATATTGTGTGTGTGGTTTTACAGAAATAAAATTTGTGGTTAAAACTTGAAATTGAATTGAAAGCGCTTTTCCACTTCTTTGTATTATTTTTCATCTATGCACTGGTGCTTGTGCTTTTGTACAAAAATAAGCTTAGTAGCAACAGGTCCACTGTAGTTTATCACATTGATGGAAGACGTCTCAAGATACGTTTGCTAATAAGCTGTACTATTTTGCTGTATACAGCGTATGTTTAATTGTTTGTTGTCCATTTGTTTGGGAAAGTATTTGTTTCAAGAATGTCAGACCAAATATTGAGGTTGCTTTAAACTTTAAAAATTAAAACAAATAAAATTTCAAAAAAATTATAGAAAGATGACAAGAGGTATTTTATATAACTTTATGAAATAGAACACCAAAACCAAAACACCGTAGAAATTCTAAATACTAATTTGTTTGAGCTTGATTGGGTTTTCCATTGTGAACCCATCTCTAAACACAACCTTGAAGCCTACACTCCTACCTTACAATGAAAGTTTTAA